AGGAGAATGTAATTTCTATGGTAATTCTAAATAGTAGTAGTAGTAGTAGTAGTAGTAGTAGTAGTAGTATAGTAGTAGTAGTAGTAATTATAAAGTTGGAAGGGACCTTGGAGGTCATCTAGTCCCCCTACTCAGGCAGGAAACCCTGTACCATTTCAGACAAATGGTTATCCAGTCTCTTCTTTAAAACTTCCAATGTTGGAGCATTCACCGCTTCTGGAGGCAGGTTGTTCCACTGGTTAATTGTTCTAACTGTCAGGAAGTTTTTCCCTAGTTCTAGGTTGCTTCTCTCCTTGATCAGTTTCCATTTGTTGCTTCTTGTCCTGCCTTCAGGTCCTTTGGAGAATAGCTTGACTTCCTCTTCTTTGTAGCAGTCCCTGAGATATTGGAACACTGCTGTTATGTCACCCCTAATCCTTCTATAAATAATGCAGCCTAACCCAATATACACCTATCTAGGACCACTGAACATGGTGGGGCTGACTTCTGCATAAACACAACAAAGACATAGAAAAAAATTTTTTTTTAATTCTATCTTCTTCAATATTATCAGTGCTAAAGTAACTGCAGTGCTCCAGAGGTTCAAACAAGGGTCTTTTCCATGAAAATCTGGAGTTGGCAAGGAATAAGCTTGGCACCTTGTTTGCATTTTGAACCTGGGGTGGCAGATCATTATATTTAAAAGGAGCAAATTATATTTGGAGGGTTTAAAGGTGCACTGGGAACATTTTACAGTATGCTTATGTCTTCTATTGCCTAGCAGCTACATATCACTAGGAGACTAGAAACTTTACTTTGTATTTCACAGTAAGAAATTGTTTAATTATGGCGTATTGAATACTTCATAATTAGCCAGATTCACACAACTAAGCATAAACCATGGTTTACAAGCCACGGTGGCTGAATCACACTAAATTTCAAACAAAATATAATTGAGTATGATATGTGAATTCTAGCATAGTAGTTTCTTTTAAAGAAATCTTTGATGCCTATGATCCACTAGGAAGCTTAGCTAGAAGGCTCTGTCAGAAACTTATTCTACAAGAGTTTTGCAGTGTCTGCTGGGGAGATATGTTTCAAAAAAGCAAGATGGTGCTTGTGGCTATGTGATCAAAATCCCACTCTTTTTGTATGAGTTTTGTATATGGATTTATGTGCCCAACTCACCTCTGGAAAGCTCAGCAAATGACAGAGCAAAAGCTAAAGATACCTTTCATCCACTTCCAACTCCAGATATATTCATAAGGAATGGATACCAAAAATATGACAGCTCTTCTGCCTTCGGGGATCTAGGGATTAATGTCACAAGTCATGGGGTGACTTTTGTTTGCCCACACATTTTATTTAGCACTATTTATATAACAGCACCAAGGAATCTCTTAAAGTTCTCTTTAAAAGCTGGGAAGCATTGGGAAGCATTAGTAGCATCTCACGTTGTTATCAGACAACTGGGGCAAACCCTGTATCTTGGACAATTTTTTTTAAACCAAATCTTCTCCCTCTGACAACAGAGAATAAGAGCCAATTGTACTATATTGTAATTTTTTTCAAGGAGAAGATACAAAATGTTTGGAAGAGAAAGGTATAGGAAGACATAAACAAGGGGTTTGCAAACTGATGAAACTCATGGATTCTTTAATAAGGAGATATGTTTAGAGCAGGGGTGTCAAACTGCCGACCCACGGGCTGGATGCATCATAGCGAGACCACGTCCACCCTATTGCCGGCAATGGCAAAAAAAGTCACAATACGTCGTGACACGTCACATAACATTGCGAGTTTGACACCCCTGGTTTAGAGAGAGGACTGCTTTATTTTATTCACATATTTGTTTGTCCCAAAAAAACCCCAAAGTGACTCTTTGTCTAGGACAGGGCTTTTCAACCTTTTCACCCATTGTACCACTTTTAGGATATGGCAACATCCGAGTACCACCAGTCGCCTGGCAAGGTGTCAAAAACTTGACGACCTAAAAAAAAAGGAAAAAAGTGATAAAGTACAGGTAGTCCTCGACTTACAACAGTTTGCTTAGTGACTGTTCGAAGTTACAATGGCACTGAAAAAAGTGCCCCCCAAGCCACAGCCAAGCAAGACACCTGCCTGCCCACCCAGCAGCGCTCTTCTTCCTATTCGAGGTTTTCATTGTTGTGAGCATTTCTGTTGAGGATTGGCAGGGGTGGGGGGTGGGTGTTTGGTTTTTATTCCCCCCCCCCCGTCTGCTGGGTGGTTGCAGCAGGTTTTGGTCATTTCACATGACCCTGGGACGCTGTGACCGTCATAAATATGAATCAGTTGCCAAGCATCTGAATGTAAATCACAAGACCCTGGAGATGCTGCAACATTCCAGCTGATCGGCGCTTCTTCTGGGCTCAGCGGAAGTGCCAGGATCAGCGCCGAGCTCCAGCTGGAGCCTTGCGCTGATCCTGGCGCTTCCGCTGAGCCCTGACAGCCCTGCAGCTCCAGCCATCTCTCGCTCAGGCTTGTGCGGTGTTGCCACTGGTTCAGCCCATTCCCCTCCCCTGCTACTTTTCTAGGGTGGTCACGTACCACCTGCCAGGTGCCAATGTACCACAGGCGGTACCCGTACCACTGGTTGAAAAGCCCTGGTCTAGGATGTCCCTTTGGCCTAGTAGTCCCATTAATGGAGCTCCCATAAAGACAAGGATGCTCTTTCTTGTCTCAAATACAAAAACCTGGTAAGAAGAGAATTCCTGTTTGGCTGTTGAATTAAAGTGAAAGTTTACCTAGATATCTGGGTTCTATTGGCATATGGCAAATTTCCCCAAGTCTTACGACCTCCAAAAATTTGGATTTCAACTGTCTGTTGTTAAGGGATTGTGAAAGTCAGGGTCCAATTCCTCTGGAAAACATGATCTTGGAGAGGCTAATAAATTACTACTATTCCAGTTTTCTTGACTGGAACCTGCTGTTAAATATAATTTATTAATTCCTTGGTTAGTCTCTTGATGCTAGCTATCTGTGGGTAGGATATCTTTTACTTATTAAAATGAATTATTGGTTAAATTGTTATATGTGAGTATCTCATTGATGTTATTGATTCCAGGTATTTTTCATTTTACTGTACAGTGGTTTTCCATCCATTTTATTTTTTGATATATACTCTGGCTGCAAAGAGGTTTTAGTGGTTGAAATATTCATAGCGGTTTTTTTAACATTATTATACTTAAATTATCTCTTCTGTGAATTTTTTCAAGTCGAATGCATTGGTGGGAATTTTAATAGATAAATACTGACTATATTATGAACATAAATAGCAAAGCAGATTAGATTCATCTCACTCAATTAAAATTCCGCACCCTTCCCTAAGGACCAGCCCAAACAAGTCTTACAATGCTTTTGAAAGAAGCTCAGATTCTGAGTAAGCCTGCAGTGGAAAAGTGTTCCATGACATTCTAGAAAATTGGATGCATCTACTAAAATAGCTCTCATTCTCCCCATGTTGACTGAACCTGACCCACAAAGCATTTGCAATAGGATCATACCTGGATTATAGTCTTTGTAGATCCTGGCCACTCTTAATAATCATATTAACCACAAGCCCATACGTAATATAATACACTTAAAGATTTTAAATTTGGAAGAGATTAAAATATTTTTATATGGCCTTGAGAGTTTTGTTGACTATGTATAATGTGTGTATTATGCCTATCATGAGTATCTACAAGGAGGGGCAAGTGATGAAACAATCAACAAGCCATTATGAGTTTAAAACTTTTGTCCTTGCATCAGACATTAGGCCCAAGTATAGATAATCCTCGACTTATGATCACAGCTGAGCCCAAAATTTCTGTGGTTAAGTGAAACATTTGTTAGGTAACCTTTGCCCCATTTATGACCGTTCTTGCCACAGTTGTTGTGTGAATCATTGCAGTTGATAAATTAGTAACCCAGTTGTTAAGTGAATCTGGCTTCCCCATTGACTTTGCTTGTCAGAAGTTCGCAAAAGGGATCACATAACCTTGAGAGAGAGCAACGGTTGCCAAGCATCTGAATTTTGATCACATGGTCATGGGGATGCTGCAAAGGTTCTAACAGTGAAAAATGGACATAAGTCACATTTTTCAGTGCTATTGTAACTTTGAACAGTCACCAAACAAACACACAAGGGCAGAATTTCCATCATGACATCACTGCACAAATGTCATTATTTTGCTGTAATCACAGTTTGCTGTTGGTGCCATGATCCCCATTGGATAACCCAGCTTGGACAGGGACTTATGCCAATTCTCAACCCTATTTTTGTGGCCCCTAGAATTTTCTCCAATTAAAAGTCATAACTTCGTTTCCTGCCATTTTTTGGAAAAATAAAGAAAATAGTTAGAAAATGTTTAACATAAAGTTAATTTTTTAAAAAAACACCTGTCTCTACCCAAATCCAGAAAAATGTTGAAAATTCTCCTTACCCCAGCCCCCAGGATTTCCCCCCCCCCCCCATACCTCTAAAAAGCTATTTTGCAGTTTGGCATATATTGTATTACTGTCTCACTGACTGCAGAACAAGCTCCACTGAAAGGTTAAATCAATTTCCATTTGTGGTTTAGAATGTGGTTTTCAGAGATCCTATTGGAATAGTTGGACCAAGCTCTGTAAAGTTGCATGATTTATCACCAGCTTCTTATACTGTGTCCAGATTAGAGAATCAGTTCAGAAGTAAGAACAGCCCTTCTCACTTTGGCAGTCTGTAGATGTAGTTGAACTAAACACCCGGAATTCCCTGCCAGCATGGCAGCTGTGAGTGGTCTTCAAAGCATCAATGTGTTTCTGATTGCAGATCCCCTTTTCAGATAAACATGTTTTGCAATCATTTGTTTCAATGTTATGAATGTTTGAGTATAACCTTTTAGCAAAATTGTGTTTTCACCTTGATATGACTTTTTTGTAGTTGTTGTTTCAAGAAAGTTCAAAGGAAAGTAGAGACACTGATCTTGCTCCATGGGGATTGTGTGTAAGCTAACCATGTGAATTTGCATTTATTAAAGATATCAACAATATCTTCAACACAGTCATTCCAGCATAACTGAGAACAATTGAAAAAGAGAAATTACAAGGTATGCTACCCTATTTTGACAGTAATTATAGTTAGAACAGCTGCACAAACCACTGAAAGAAAATGAGTCAGGTTCATAATTTGCCAACATGACTTGAAAAATCTGTACTATGCCTGTGACAATTTTCAGCTCTCTTGAAAGTGGGTGAGAGAAAGTTTGAGCTTAACAGAAAGCAGAAAAAGAAGTATCAAGAGCTACCCATTTTGGTGTTTGGAACCTCTGGGCTTCTGCTGGCATTTGCACTACAGATTCCAGATTTTCCTAATCTCCCATGGAATTCTGTACATCCTTTTTAGAGATATTTGAAGAATCATTCTCCTGATACCCAGTCTATTTACATATAGAGTATGCAGCAATCATTTTCAAAGCTGCAGTCACTATTTTCTAGCATGTGTTTCTGACAGTAAAGGCATTACAAAAAAAAGCTCCAATATAATGATTGATGCAATCAATGCATGTAGCCTTAGAACTGTCCCACACTTGATATGAATTAATCCAGAATTGTCAAATTAACAGATATGAAAGATCTGTTGAATTTTATATACCAATCTAGCAGTGTGTGCTGTTTCCTTCTCACCTACCTGCTTCTGATTCCCATATACACAACCATATATATAAAACTAAAGACAAGAGTGATTCTTCATACATTGAATGAAATGTAGTCTAGTACATGAAGGCTCAGGTCATAACATTATTATTGATCCTTAGGGTACTTGAAGACTCTTTTACCATAAAAAAGTCCTAATAAAACTTTGTTCTATTTTTGTTAATTAAATTAGTATTAGCATACATAATATATTATATCAATGATAAGTAATAAATACCATTTAGTTTCTAAAAGTCTGGTGGTATGTAGTCTTGGAGTAGACATGTCTTTTATATGTAAACAGAAAACATATCTACTCCAAGCTTTTCCAGCCTTGTAGTTTCTGGATGTACGGGACTATTACAAATTCTAACGATATCTTCTTTTAAGGAATGGAAATTCTGACTCTAGAAAACATTCCATAGGTACCTTTTGGGTGGGCATTGGATTTCACAACCAGTTGATTTGTATTTGATACATATTACCTTCCATGCAACATTACAATCCTAACACTTTTCTAGCATAAATGGTAATTTTTCTATGCATTGTTCCATCAACCCAGCAATGTTTTCTTCTAGGAAACTCCATTTCATTCCTTTTTCATGTTTCATGTTCCTGACTTTGCTCATTCCTCGTAAGAAACTTTAGGGAGATTTGTTCCTTTGATTTCTATCCCTTCAAAATTGTTCTATTTCTGTTGCTTAGGATTTCCTGGAGTATTCTAATGTTTTCCTTTTGTTTCTCAACAGCTCTACTCTGACCACAATCCTGTCTGCAGTCAGAAGGAGCTTGGTGAGCAATGCTATTTTTTAACCCATATATATGAAAAATGTGATCTAATAATGCTAGCAACTCTACTAAAATTCATAGCACAGTTTGTAGCTGGCTTGTGAAATAAAGTATACTCTCATATGAGTCATGTATAGATATGGGGCATAGAAGAACAAGGAATATACTACAGTATATGCAGTTCCCTTAATTAAAGTATAACTCAGCCTTCGTACTCTCCTCTATCATATATTTAGTCTGACAAAAGGGCACAACACTGAGGAAAGCAACCGTGTTTATTGAAGCATTTATTGGGCACCTATTTTACAAGAAGGAGGACCCTGAACCATGAAAAACAAAGGTTTTTTTAATAGAAGTTGAAGGCTATAAGGTGAAAAATCAGTTGGCTTGTTTGGGAAAGCTAAGCATATCCTTACTAGTGTATCTGGACCTATTTTTAGACTAGATGGCCCCTTCAGGAGCATAGCAAAATCCATTGTTAAAGGAGATTGAATGGTGAGGTCATCAGCTGAGGGATGATGGAAAGTTAGGGTTTCTGGGTTGCAATATGCTTGTAAAACATGCCCTTGGGCTGCACTGTGAGCTGGTGAGAAGGCTTCTATTTTTTGGATTAGATGGGTTTACAGGGGGTCAACTTGGGACTGATACAATTAAGCAAAGACATGAACTGAGTTTAACTCTGATCATATCTAAAGACAGAGAGGAAAAGGGTGCAACTTCCATTTTGTCTGCTAGGTTTATTTTCTCCACTATGTTCCTTTCCATCAACCTCAAAATCCTGCAGCTTGCCTGTATTTATAACTCTGCTAGGGAGCCGCATACAAAACCTATTCATGTATATTTATTTTAAAATGTTTAAGGCTGCCTTCCTGTACAATGAGTTTGGTGGTGTACAATAAGAATAAAAATGCCTTGCTCTGTATGCAATCTTAGTCCAAATTTTTCATTGTGCTATAAATTGTATTTAATAGTTCAAGGAAAAAGGATTGGCAAATATCTTGCTGAACATATCCATTCTGTTTTCTTTTATTAACAGTGTGATGCAGCATTAACACTAAAAGAAAAAAGGGTGAGAAATTAAATAACTTTTTTAAAAGCCAAGGCATTTTGACTGAATTGCTCAAACACACTCTTTCATGCCATTTAATTAATAAAACATTAATTTAAATGTTGACAAATATCAGTAATTCTTGTTTAAATGAATTTATTCTTCTACCAATGTATAAAACTTGACAGACTGCAAATTTAAGCAGAATACACATGTCCTAGATGCTCAGTTAACACTCTAAAATCCCATTAACCTATAGATTTTGCACACAAACCTAAATATTGTACATACACACAACCAGCTTTGAATATACTATATATAAACTTGATTCTTCAACAGGCCCATATTTTGTTTATATGGGATTTATTTCTTATCTCTATAAAGCAACATCTATTTCAAGTTAATAAAACTTCTATTTCTAGCTACCTACTGAATGCAGGACTGAATTCCTTGGAGGCCAAGATTTACTGCTGTGTTTGATGTCCAAGTGAGCTGCACCACTTCTGGAGAGCTTGACTTCTGCACCTCTCTACTAACTCATTAAAGCATCTGTATCTTTATCAGGCTTGCTTGGAAGTAGCAGAGAGGTGCTCAGTTCATGTTCCCCAAAGTTATTGGGGGGGGGGAATCCTGAATTACTTCTGAATTGTACAAAATCCTAATGGATATTCCACACAACCTGGGGAAAAAATGATAGTATTCTCAAAATTGGACCCAGTTGGTGTGGCCATATGCTGCCAGAACCACCACTAAATAAACTTGACTTTGATAGTGATTGATTGAATTAATTATGTTGTGGAGAAAGAACCACAGTAGCCCCATCATATCAAATACAATGAATCTTGTGCTTGCATAGACTGTTCAATACAACAAAGAGCTAGTGTCACCTTAGCTTTCCTGTTAATTTTAAAGTAAAAGTATCCTGTGAATACAGATTGGCTTTCTCAGTGTTTGAATGGGAAATCTCTATACTAAATGTCCCTAACCCTAAATATGCTTATTCAAAAGAAAGACTTTTCAATTTCCAGTGGGCTATTACCTCGCTTGATGTTAAGCACTGCATCTTAAATTATCTTTATTACATAAATTGATTAAGCAACAGTAAATAAAATCTCCCCACTGATACAAAAAAATCCAATACAAAAATACTTGCTTAAGTAAATTGCCTGAAATTCTCTCCATCTCAGAAAATCTTCAGTAGCATTGAGAAACCAGATTAAATTGACACTGAACCAAAACTTGTGACCAACTATGAAACATAACCAATTGAGGAAAAAATAGGCTGTGTGCAATAAGATCCTTCTCTATTAATCTGTCGTCCTTTGACAGAGTTAGATTTATTTGCCAGGATCAGGTGAGGAAGAAAGCAGAGCAACATGACCAAGTTGCAACAGCAGGAGAAGATGGAGAGAAGAAGCCATTAACTTAAATTTTTCTTCATACAACACTGACTTGGAGCCTGCATGAGCAAAAGGTGACAGCAGACTAATCTGTTCTTTCCTTTCCAGAAACCATGAAAACTTTATTCCCTCAACAAAGCATTGGCCCAAATTTCCCATACACTTGGAATGCTTTAATGTTACTGTATTTGAGATGGAGACAATTTCCACTTAAGAATGTCAGTAGCCAAAAATCGATATTTATATACTAGTCTTTAATGTGAGTTTTTTCTGTTGATGTGATGGAATGTTGTCTGGATTCCCAGAAGAGAGGGAGTGCAAGAGACAACCCAGTTTAGATAGTTTGTGTGAGAGAATGAGGATGAAGACAGCTCCTTCCTAACAGATCCCAGAATATATGTTTTATGGTGCAAGTAGTTGGACAAGATTTGTACCTACAGATGAGGAACAATATAGAAATCTGCTTAGAAGAATTGCGACAACTTTTTTGGTTCCTGGTCTGATGATTAATAAACTATAATTTTATTAATTATTAATTATATTAAATTTCTTTTTATAAACACAGCATAGTATTTTTTAAGTAATCTTACTTATAGACATATAAAATTAAGCTACCCGGGATCAGAAGTGCCTGCATGGGAGGGAGAGGGAGAAGAAATGGGAAAGGAAGAAAAGGCAGAATGATCAATAAATTCTAGACCAGTGTTTTTCAAGCTGACTGGAGGATTCTGGGAGTTGAGGTCCCCACATCTTAAAGTTGCCTAGTTTGAAAAACTCTGGTCTGAATAATCTATAAAGTCTATAACTAAAATAGAATCAGAAATAGGTCCAGATTGCCAAGAATAGACAATTGGTAACTCCCTTATTACACTTCTTTTATCTTGAAAATGGATTAACCTTCTGTTGAGTCCGTGGCGGGAAACAGACACAGAGTTCTCAGTTTCTTTTATTCAGCGTTCAGCTTACAGGAAGATGGCTTCAGCCTCGCCCAAACGCCTCGCAGCCTCTTATATAGGCAACTCCCGGGTAAATGGGTTACTTTTCCCGCGCCAGCACCCGTGCATGCGCACGGCGCTGGCGACAGCCTGTCTGGTCCCGGGCAGCTTTGCACCTGCCCGGGACTGCCTGCAAACGCCCGAGCCATTTGCAAGGCTCGGGACATAACACCCCTTTCCCCCGGGCTAAAACTACTCCCAACATACAACATTTATTTTATACGACAATTTGCTCCCCAGTGCTCCCACTGTTTACTGGCTTTTGCCTTGCCAGCAATGTTATGTAATCTTCTAGGTACTTAGGAGATTTCTTTGCTCTCTGTGACCTTCTTAGCTCTGGGTTACTGGCATAAGTCCCCTGACTGGATGGAGGCATGAGCCTGTTCTCTCTACTGTGCCCTGGTGTCTTCCAAGGACTGTGCCCCGATGCCTGGCCTGCTTGCTTGCCCACCGGGCTCGTCAGGCCAGGGCTTCTGTTACTTTGTGACCTGGTTGACCTACCTCGCTGTAGACCCTCAGGCCCCTTGAAGTGATAGCCGCTGCTGGGCGTCTCTGTAGAACCTCCTAGGTCAGTCCAAGACCTGTCAGGAGGCGGTCCATTCCCTGAACCCCATTCTGTGTTCGGGCTCGTGTGGGTTTCTGTACTTTCCCAAAACTCAGGTGTTCCCTGATTTGTGCTAGGGTTGGTGTAGTCGGGACTTGGTTCCTCGACTAACTCTGTGTATGTTTGACCCCATGTAGGATTTGGGGTAAGGTCAGGCCAACCTTGGGAATTGTGTGCCAGTTCTCTTGCGGGGACTGATTTGTTGGGATGCCCCCGGGTATCCTCCGTTGCTGGAGTGCTGTGTGATGTGTGTGGAAAGTGAGTATTCCCCCGGGGTGACTCCCTAGCTGGAGTAGGCGTGAGTGCCTGTTGTGTGGGTAAGCTCCATGACTTTCTTTTCGGAGCAATTGCGGAACCCTGGGATGGGCCGTTTGTGGCTCCCTCAGTGGAGATGGGCAGTAGCTCTTGCTCCAAAGGGTCCCCCTCCACCCCTGGAAAAGACCCAGGAGTCTCATCTGAAAAGTCCCGCCTAGGGCGGAGTTGGTCGATGTGCCGACGCAGGACACGACCGTTGTCCAGGGCAACCTCGTAGGAGAGAGGACCTGTGACCCTGGAAATAGAAGCGGGGACCCAGGTATGACCAGGCCCGTAATTGCGATCCCAAACCGGGGCACCCACAAGTAGTTGTCTAGGTGCCCTAGGATGTGAGGTAGATGAAGGCAGTCTGTCCGGATGCAACTGGTCAAGTTTAGTAGTAAGTTGACGCCCCCAACGAAGTTCAGCTGGCTTCGCCCTGTAGAGTGGATGTGTGGTGCGAATAGAAAGGAGAAAGTCATCCACCTGTGATGCCAGTCCCCCGTAGGTGATTCCCTCCTCAGGCGATCCTTTGCGATGCCACAATGCGTTCAGCCCATACCGTTGGTGGAGCGGGTGAAAAGCGCAGACGTGGCATGACGCATCAGTTTGCCTGTAAAAAGCTTGATTCCGGAGAGGTGAATGAGGGCCTTGTCGG